CCCTGACATCACAGCAGACACGAGACTTAACTCCACGTGGACTGCACAGCTCAGGGTGAAAGGTCAACTAAAGGTTTAGGAAAAAAAGACCTAGGCTAACACCTTCATTACTTGGTGGGAAGCAAAGATTTATTAAACAGGGCAAAGTTCTCTCAAAGTGCTAACGTCTGAGAGTGAAAATTCAAGATACAGAGTAGAAGAAAATGTGTAATTCTCATATCTACAAAGGCCCTATATCTGAACTCCTACATATCTATTTTTTTTAAATCCTACAACCTCAATAGAAAGAAGGACTTAAATTGGCACTTCACAAAAGAATATATCTGAATAATCGAAAAACCTACAAAGAGATGCTTAACTTCATTCATCACTAGTTAACTCTGAAACCAGCTCGCCAGAATGGCTAAAATGAAAGACAAACTGTAACGGAAAAGGGGTTTTCCATCACATATATAAATAACCAAAAGAGTTCACATTCAGAATAAAGAACTCTTAAAAAAAATTTTAAAATGTCAGGCAGTCCAATGGAAAAGGGTCAATAAACATTTGTAAAGGTACCTGACCTCACCACAGAAATGGAAACTAAAACAATAAGGAGACAGTGTGGTACTGGCGTAAAGCAGGCATGCAGATGGAGGTGATAAAATGGTGACTGGATAAAGAAGATATAGTCATATTTATACAATGGAATACTACTCAGCTATAAAAAAGAATGAAATAATGCCACTTGCAGCAGCATGGATGGACCCAGAGATTATCATATTAAACGAAGTAAGTCAGAAAGAGAAAGACAAATACATGATATCACTTATATGCAGAATCTTAAAAATGATACAAATGAACTTATTTACAAAACAGAAAGAGACTCACAGACATAGAAAATAAACTTAACAGTTACCAAAAGGGAAAAGGAGGGGGAGGGATAAATTAGGAGTTTGGGATTTGCAGATACTAACTACTACATATAAAACAGATAAACAACAAGGTCCTACTGATAGCACAGGAACTATATTCAATATCTTATAATAAATGATAATGAGAAAGAATATATATGTATAACTGAGTCACTATGCTGTATATCAGAAACTAACACAACATTGTAAATCAACTATACTTCAATAAAAAATTTTTAAAAATATATCTGATAAAGACTTACATCCAAACTATATGAAGAATTGTAACTCAGTAATAAGAAGATAGACAATTTAAAAATAGGCGAGAGATCTAGCTGACATTTCACCAGAGAAGACACACAAATGTACTAAGAGGTACATGAGAAGATGTTCAACACCTGCAGTCATTAGAGAAACGACAAAACCATAAGGAGATAACAGTACGTTCCCATAAGAAAGGCTGTAGTCAAAAAGACAGACAACAGAAAGCAGTGGCAAGAATGTGGATTCACTGGAACCCTCACACATTGCTGCTGGGAACATAAAATGACTTGGAGAACAGTTCAGCAGTTTTTTAAAAAGCGAACATAAACTTCCCAGGCAAGTAGCGCCACTTCTAGGTATCCACCCCAGAGAGATGAAAATGTATGTTCAAACAAAGCCTTGTTTTGTTTTGTTTTTTAATGGCAGTACTGGGGATTGAACCCAGGACCTCATATGCTAAGTATGCACTCTACCACTGAGCTATACACTCCCCACCAAACAAAGACTTGTTTTTGAATGTTCAGAGCAGCATTATTCATAATAGCTAAGAAACAACTCAAGTGTGCATCCACTGGTGAATGGATAAATAAAATGTGGGATATTCATACAGCAGAGAATATCATTCAGCATTAAAAAGAAACAAACTACTCGACGTGGATGAACCTCAAAAACATTAGTTTTAGAGTCAGATGTAAAAGACTACATATTGCCAATTCCATTTACATAAAACGTCCAGAAAAGGCAAATTCAGAGACAGAAGCAGATCAGCAGCTGCCTGGAGTTAGGGGTGGGAGTGGGGGCTGATGGCAAATGGGCATAAGGGAACTTTTTGTGGGGGGTTGACGGAAACATCCTAGAACTGTATTATGGTAATGGTTGCATGTTTATTAAAATAATCAAATTTTCCCATTACAATGAGGGAATTTTACAGTAGGAAAATTATAACTCAATAAAACTCTTTAGAAAAGTCTATGATTTGGGAAAGAAAAATCTATTGATAAAGCTGAAGTTATATCAGAGGAATACATGGCTTGAAATTAAGTGAACTCTGTATTTAACTCAATAAATGAGGAAAAGAAAAAAAGAAAACAGACTAAGTAACTAAGATAAAAGTAGAAATGAAACATATTGAGAACAAAATATCAAAAGAATAAATGAACTTACACGGAGACATTGCCACCAAAGATACGGAAGACATTAAAGATTCATCAAAGAACATAACGTGATGGTACATGACCTACTCTACGCTGACCCAACGTGGAAGGAATCTGCAGACTTACTCACTGAGCAAAGCACGAGGCCCAGCTGGGTTCTAAGTCAACCTTGTAACCCCGTCATGGACTGTAAGACGGCACGCTATTCCACATTTGACTTTTGCTAAAAATCCAGGTGCACCTTAAAATCTGTCATCAGATGGGAGCATGAGAGAGCAGCATAAAAACCTATAGACCACCTTCAGGAAGGACCACAGTTGCCAGTATCAGCGCATCTTAGAGTTTATAAAATGCAGGGGTACAAGAAAGGAAGACAACTACAGACCAGCTTCACATAGTGAGTATGGAAAAGAACTCGAATGAAAATTAATAAACTGAACCTGGCATGTATAAAAGTGTACTATACCACAACCATACTGAGGTTTACCCCAGCAATGCAAGGATAGCTCAAAGCCACAAGATCTATCAACACGGCACTTACTACAGCCACATCTTAAGGAGAAAAATCATGTGGCATCTGATAAAAGTCAGCAGCAGTGCCAACACGACACCAACCAGTCAGGGCGGTGCGGGTCAGAGCCGAGCAAAGGTGGTCCGTGCAGTGGCGACGGCCGAAGCCTCTCACCAGGATGGGAGAAGCCAGGGAGGCCTGCTCTCACCTTCTCACCTGTTTCGCTGGTCCTGGCTAACAGTGTAATAAAGTGAAAATAACCAGCGCATGCTGGTATAAATATTAGAAGAGTGATTAAAGTGTCTAATTATGGAGGACAGGACTATATACGCAGACTCTAGTGAAAAAGGTACTAAGGCTAACAAGGAAATTTGGTAACAGTGATAGAGTAAGAGAACATTAAAAAACCAACCGTTAGATTAGCAAGAACTACTTAGAAGCAGAAATGGAAAAAATATGACCGTGTCACAAGAGTGACAAAAACTATAAAGCACTTAGGAATAAATTTACTGCAAAGGTAAAGACTCCCAAGAATATCATAAAATCTTACAGAAAGGAAACAAGACCTAGAAAAATGGAGGCAATGTTTCCTCTTCCTAGATGGGAAAGGAGTATTAAAAAGATCAGTCTTCCCCAAATTAATAGGTCTTTAACATAATTCCAACTGATTCCCACTTTTTCTGGGCTAGCTGAAATTACCGAGTGTGCATCAGACGCTCTGATGCTTCAGAACAGCCGAGAGAGACGCACCAGCGATAGCAGCGAGGGCCGGCCCGACGGCGTGGAACCCCCCGGCTGTGCGGGTGTGCGACACAGAAGCCCCTCTCCGGCCAGGCAGATACGCAGGCTGGCCCTGCAGAACCCTCCCTCCGCTGGCACGGCACGAGGGATGGGCCTGCGCCACGAAGGCTCAGCGGCAGTTACCGGGAGCCTTTTCCATCCCAGACATTCATGTATTCGGGCCAGGCGCCCTCAGGGCACTGGGAGGAGTGACAGCAGGCAGGTGACCCTCTGCTCACTCACAGGTGGTCTCCCCGGGCGGGAAGGTGGGATGCTGGCACCAGCAGAGCAGGCCCCTGGTTTGGCCTGACGCGGTACCCCTAGAACCCGGGGCAGGTGCTCCTCCCCGACAGTGAGAAGGTACGGACCACCTGGGAGGGGAAGACTCCTCAAACACAACTTGGTGTGCATGTTACCTACACATAAGCTAAACCAAACACAGGCCAGAAGCGAGCTCTGTAAAAGGCAGCGAGAGGAGAGCCTGGGGTCCTGAAGCCCTCATGCCTCCCCACGCCCGCTCTCCCAGCGGCGGACCGCGCCGGCTGGCACACTGGGCTCTGCCCCGCCGCGGGGAAGGCGCTGGAACACACCGCCCACACCTGCTCCGAGCTCACACGTGACGAGAATTAACTGTAGAGACCTGCTGTCATGAATGTAAGGTGTGCAAGATGTCTGACGTTTCATTACACTCGTCTTACACTTTGGTAAACGTAAAGGTTTCCAGGGGTTCACATTTGATTCTGGGGTCCTTCCTCTTTTCCCCAGATACGGTTTTACGTACTTCAACCTCAAAACCTCCCAGTGGGACTGAACACCCTCAGGTGGAAAGGGGTGGCTGTGCTGTGTTGGGGGAAATCTGAAGCACAGAGCACTGCTCCCTGACTAATCTCAAACAGGAACCCTGGGTGGAGGCCACCCCCATAGACTCCTAAGCAGGAGGTCCATGAAAGACTGGTCACAGTCCTGGCTTCTCCGACCCCCGCGAACCCAAGAGGCTCTAACCGTGGTTTTCACAGTTGCTCTACCTGTAGTAACTTCCTTCTGAATTGTTAGAGCGCAGAGACAAAACGAGAGACTAGAATCATGTTAAGAGAAAGCCGGCTAGCGCAATTACAACTAACATAAGAAGATTTAAAAGTCTTTCCTCTGCTTTTTTTTAAGTGTTTTATGCCTGTAATAGTCTCACGATTACATTTTTATCTTAAATAGCTCTGGAATTTGAAATACTAGTAGGGTAAGTTAGTGGCATTCAATCTAAAGAGAAACGCAACAAAGAAGAAAAAAGAAGCCAACAGAATTTAAATACAGTGAGATAAGAAGGTAGCAAACTATCGAAACATTACTCCTTCCCCCGAAAAGGGCAAACTTGAACTTTTAAAAGACAAATAATAAAATCACCTTTTAAAGACGGTAGTTTTTGAAGTTCTCTGTTATTGCTGGCGCTAAACCTGGAAGAACTTTGCCGTCTGTCTTTCTTCTCTGCAGGCTGAGGGACTGGCACTTTTATTTTACTAGATGCTGCAGACGGGGCAGCAACAAGGCTGTTTTTCCTGCTGGGAATCTGTTTCCAAAATGAAAACAAACACAAATGAATATGTCAAATGTCAATATATGGTATCTCATAGCACCATTAGAATAGGGAAAAATACGCATAAACACAAAAGTTGCACTCTGGGACAGTCTCGCTCATTCTACTGTGAACAACTTAATTCCTTGTAGTTGCTGGAGTCTGAGGCTACATCCCACTTCTAGTAGTGCTAGATTTCGACATATTTCACAGCTACACCTAATTTCCTATCTTCTTTCAAACCTTTGACTATATGGGCTGATGTGTATGTGATGACAGTGACCTTCCAGGGATGTTCACATCCTCATTCCTGGGAACTGTGGATGTGTTTCCTTACTTGGCAAAAGGGGCTTTGCAGGTGTGATGAAGCTAAGGATCCTGGGCTGTAAGGGGGTCCCCAGGTAATCACATGGGTCTTTGCAAGACAAGAGAAGGCAGTGAGGTGATGAAGCAGAGTCAGACACTGGAAGATGCTACGTGGCTGAAGCACAGAGCAAGGGGCCCTGTGCCACGAGTGCAGGTGGCCCCCGGAAGCTGGGGAAAGGCCAGGACACGGACATTCCTCTTGAGTCTCCAGGAGGAACCAGCCCGGCAGACACCTTAATTTCAGCCCCATTGCAGACTTCTGAGCCCCAGAAGTGTGAGGTAAGGAGTTTGCGCTCTCTCAAGCAGCTCAGCCTGTGGCCGCTTGCGCGGCGGCAGCAGGACGCCAGCACAGCTGGACGGCTGGTGAGTGACAGCTTCCCCTGAGCCTCAGGAGAGGCTTTTCTTTCCAGCCTCTCCCCCTGCCTTCGACCCCAGGTGCCCCAGCTGAAGAGTCTGACGTTTATCTGAAGGGACAGGAAGCCAAGGAGAGGGTTTGGGTAGGGCGATGACACAAAAAGTGAATTTTCCTCTTTAAAAGGCCCACAGGCTCAGGGTGGATGGCGACTGTGGGGGGAATGGAAGCCCGGGATGCACAGGAAGGCTTTCCTGGTTGTCCAGATGGGAGTGAAGATGTTCCCTTGGACCCCGGCAGGAAGACAGAGAATCAGATGGAGGATAGGACAGGGGGACTGGGGTGAGGGCGGACGGAGCCCACGGGTGGGAAGGGGAGCCTTGGAGCCCGGCCTCTGCAGAGGGTGGACAGTGGGATGAGTCATCTACACGGGAAGGAAGGAAGCTCAACTGAGAAAGCACTGAGCTGCAGTACCCGTGCGGCTATGCCACACACGGGAGACGAGGAGCATAAAGTCCCGCCTCTCCAGTCCCTCCACCCCTCCAGGACGGCTTTGTCTCTGCATCACGCTCCTAGCAACGGAAACTCTCTGTTTTCCTGGTCACTGTCTGTCCCATCCGGCCCTGCATGCAGTGAGACCAGTGAGTGGCCTGTCCCGTCTGTCCTTCAGCCCAGGACCCAGGGCTGGACAGGCGGCGTCCACACAGCTGGCACCCAGGGACCGTCAACCTATCGAATGGTTACTGACATCAAGGAATGAGTGAGTGAGGGCAGGCGGAGAGGAGGCAGGCGAGGGAGGAGAAGGGGGGATAGCCAGCGATGCAGGACAGGATGAAGGTGGGGTGGGGGATCACTCGGGCTGAGGGAACAGAGCCTTCCAGGGAGGAGAAGTGCCCACCCGTCTAATGCCATCAAGGGCAGGGCTCTGCTCGACTCGGCCTCGCGCAGGTCTGGAGGTGGGTGAGGCACAGAGAGGCCCTTGGACTGAGGACGAAGCAGGAAGACCCGGAGTATCCGTGACTCCTTGGGAAGAAAGGAGCATCGGGGGAAGAAGCAGGTGGACGTGGGCTCTCTGGCTGGTGGGAGACGAGGGGCCCAAACACGCTGAATGCTGACTGGGAGGCCACAGGGGAGGGAACTGGGCCCACCTGCAGGGACGACAAAGCAGAGGAAGAAAAGGATGGGTCTGACAGGCCAGGGCTGTGCATCCGATGGCCTCCGAGTATCTGTGGGAGGCAAGGCCTGAGGAACTGAGGGCCCAAAGGGGTCGTGGAGCAGAAGAGGAAAGTGAGGGGCCTGGAGAAATGGAGAAGCTCTGAAGACATCTTTCTCTCCAGCTCCAAACATCAGCGGCCACGGGGATGAGTAAGTTAGCACTCAAAGGGGGGCACTGCCCACACGGAACTCTCCAGATGTCCCCTGACAGTCCCTGTGACCCCTCAACCTACCCACAGCCAGCTGTCCCGAGCAGTGTCCAGGAGGGAAGCAGAGTGGGAGCAGCTGTGACCCTCCTCAGTCCCGCAGGGCACCCCAGGGCCCTGCTCTCCAGGCAAGGGAACCCAGGCTCGGAGCACAGGGCCATCCCCAGGATCGTGCAGCGAGTGGCGGGGCCGAACCTGGACCTTGCTGGGTCGCTGGACTTTAGACACCACCTCCCTCATCCACACCCGAGCAGTTCTCCTCTCCGGTGTCCTGCAGACCTCTCCCCTTCTGCGACCTTAAGAGGGATGGACCACACTACCATGACTGCATGCCGGAGACTCTGCGACACCAAGTGATGCGCTGCTTATGGACCCCGTTTCTGCATGCCTCTTGAGGTCTTTAAAAGAGCACTTCATCACAGTAGTGTGGTGCTGGCATGAGGACAGATATGTAGACACAAGGGAACAGACTGAGTGCCAAGACCACTCAACGGAAAAGACAGTCTCTTAGACAACACGGTGCTCGGACAACTGGACAACCACATGCAGAAGTGTCAGGCTGGATTCCTACCTCACACGTTACAAAAGTCAGCTCACAACCTAAACACAAGAGCTAAAACCATAGAACTCTTAGAAGAACGCAGAGATAAATATTCATGACCTTGGATCTGACAATGGTTTTTTAGATATAACACCAGGAGCACAAGCAACAAAAGAAAAAAACCTAAGTTGGACTTCATAAAAATTGAAAACCTTTGTGCATCATAGGACACTACTAAGAAAATGAAAAGACAATCCACAGAATGGAAGAAAATATTTGCAAGTTATACATCTGACAAGGGTCTAGGACCCAGAATATACAGGCAGAGCTCAGAGATATAGGAGATATTACAGGTTCTGCTCCAGACCACTGCAATGACACAGATACCACAATAAAGCGAGTCACGTGAATTATCTGGTTTCCCAGTGCACATAAAAGTTATGTTTACACTACACTGTAGTCTATTAAGTGTGGAACAGCATTACATTAAAAAATGCACATACCTTAATTAAAAAATACTGCTAAAATGCCAACCATCATCTGATAACAAGGTTGCCATAGCTCAACTTTTTAATAAAAAACACTATTGTGCAAAAGTATAACAGAGTGAAGCACAATAAATTGAGGTGTGCCTTGCTTGTGTTAAGAACTCCAGCAACAGAAAAACACTCATTTTAAAAAACGGGCAAAACACCTGAACAGACATTCCTCTGAAGACAAACGGCCAATGTGCACATGGAAAGAGGCTCACCATCTTTAGCCATTAGGGAAATGCAAATGAAACCCAGTGTCCTACTGCTTCACACCCACTGGGGTGGTTATAATTAAAAAAAAAAGGAAAACAAGTGTTAGGGGGCATGTGGAGAAACGAAGACCCTCAGACACCGCTGGTGGGAATGCAAAAGGGCGCAGTTGCTGCGGAAAACAGCCTGGCGATTCCTCAGCAAGTTACACACAAAATTACCACACGACCCATCAAACCCACTCCCAGGTGTACACCCAAAGGAGCTGAACCAAAAACCTGTACACCAGTATTCAAAGCAGCACCACTCAAAATAACCAAAGATGGGAACAACCCACATGCCCATCAGATGATGAAACAAAATGCAGCAGATCCCAACAACGGGGTATGAAAAGGGAACGATGCACAGATATAAGACACCAGGCGGACCTTGAAAACACCTGCAAAATGAAAGCAACCAAACTGAAAAGACTATATATTATGTGACTCCGTCTGCATGAAATCACCAGAACAGGAAAATCCACAGGGAGAGATGGCGGATGAGTGGCTGCCGGGCCTGGGGTAGCGGGAAGTGAAAAGGGACAGCCTGATGTCAGGGGTTTCCCATTGGGGTGAGGAAAACGCTCTGGAACTCCGTGGTGGTGATGGCTGCACCACACTGTGAATGTACTAACGGTCACTAATGGCAAATTTTGTATCATGTACATTTTACTGCACATGAAAGTGTTTCATCTGTTCTTTTTCAGCTTGTTTAGGGAGAACTTCCCCACCCTCGCCCTGCTGTCCCAGGCAGAACCCGGAGTTTGTTCTCCTGTGACCCCACAGACCTCTAAACGGAGCCTGGCACCGGGATGGCGGGTCTCTCTCCAACACAAGACTGGGAGCATTTTGAAAGAGCTTGTCTTTTTAACCATGAACTTGGGTTCACATCAAGAATGGTGCCGGGCACGCAGTAAGGGAGGACCCAGTGCAGAACGACAAATCCAGGCCACAACTGCTTCAACTGGCTCCTGAAGGGCCCTGGCCCCTCCAGGCTGACTGTCCCTTCCAGGGCTGCCTGCGCTCTGGGACGGGAGGGTGGTAATGCTGGCCCAGTGGTGAGGGGCAAACGAGGGGCGTGCTCCCTGGTTTAGGGGTTTGGTGTTAACTCACAAAACAACAAACGGATTCTCTGTCTTGTGATTACAAGACATTTCTGTGAAGAAGAACGACACCATCTAGCTACTTGACTTGGGTAAGACCTCAGACAGACTTACGGCTTCCCTTTCTTGTCTCTCCTGGAATGGAGGCCCTGGGTGGTTTTGTTTTCATCTGTTTACTCAGCGAGGGGAGAGATGCCCCCAGGATTTCCTTCAGGCCTCTTTATTTCTGGCTCAGTGGTGGGAAGTGATCAAACTCAGAATCATTTGTCAAAAGTGCTGCCCTCTGCCTTCTACCTGCAGCCCCTGGAAGTCGGCAGCCCCTAGACATTTCAGAGTGAGTGTGTGCCCACCCCCAGCATCTGGAGGCTGCTGCATTTCCAGGTGGGAGCTGGGGCAGGGGTTCAGGATGATCTGAGACTCACTGAAACCC